ATCCTAGGTTGCTAAATAAAGTCTCTAATGCCACAACAGTGGATTAGTTATACATTTATGTTTAAGTTCAAGATTGCGTTGAATTGTTCCCTGAATAATTGTCTGATTCATGATTCCTGATTTCCCGCGATTATCCCTAAAGCCTAACGTTTTTAATTCCATAGTTTACATCGTTTATTTGTCATTCCTATTTTATTTTGCATACAACAATTATTTTACCATCTTAGCTTAATTTCACTCTCATATTTTCGTAGTGTAACACTTGGTCTCTGTGGATTCGCTCCCTTTGATGTTACTTCGTTGCTGTGCACTTGCAGTAGTTTGATAGGGTTAAAACCTGAGCTATCATTGTCTCACCCAATTCGGGCACGAGCATTAGACGGGATTTGATCCGCTTTCATTCCTTCAAGACGAATAAGGCTCTCGGGTTGTCTTCATCACTTCTCTTTGGATCATTTTGTCTCTTGATTTCGGCTTATATATGCACTTGGTTGGTTAGTTTTTACTCAAGTTTAGATCTCTGGATTTTCATTGTAATGTCTTTCAAGTTGAGATCTAGGATCCCTTTAGGTGGTTGTATCAAGTAGGTAATTCAAGTGGGTTTATGGTGGGTGTTTTAAGTCTCCCTTTTTGCGGGATTAAGTGGTAAGATTGTGGCTCTCTGTGTTGGAGATTGTAGCTCATTCTTTGTATATCGACCCATGATTCTAATATTACCAGATGGAAAAAAGTAATATCTAATTGGGGGATAAAGTCGGATGTGATAAGCAATTCTCTTTTAGTTTTACTTTCTCATGAAATCCTAGTTTTTTTTTTCTCAACATCAAAATATTATTTATCCAAATCAAACCTTTTACACCATAGTTTCGTTTCCTAACCCAATTCGGCACTACAGAATAAAGCTTAGGGGCATAATTCTCATGAGAGAGAGCCTCCTTTGCTATTCTATCTGCCACCACATTACAATTTCGATAACAAAAAGTAACATTTGCCTCTTCGAAGAGACTAAGCAATCGGCTGATATCCTAGTTTTATGTACTAAAATCCTAGTTTAATGTACTAAAAATCTTTTGACCAAAAAAAAAATGTACTAAAAATCATTTTCTTCGCTTCATTTGATTTTTTTTCTTCTTTTAGACAACTAAACCGTCACAGCATAGTGTCCACGGACTTGGGCTTCACACCTAGGTTGCTGGGAGCACAAAGGTTTTATCTATCTTTGATCCTCTTGAAGACCACAATAAACACATTTAGTAAACAGTTATTCATGGGGTCTTAACCTAATAAGATATGGTTAACATTTCATCATTATTTGACTATCCCTGACAACAGTTATTACCCCGGTGCACCCCATGTGTGATGTGTCCTATGGTCCTGGATGGCCAGTGCAAGATGATGGAATTTACGAAATTCCCAAAGTTACTAGGTGATATAGTTTTATGCTAGCTAAACAATTGAAAATAAAACTAAAAATCTGCAGCCATCAATAGAACATTTAATCACTGGAATTCCAAAGTCTGGGTTTCAAAGTCTAAGTTCCCTTTTGTGAATTACAGCATTCCTGCGCATGCTTCATCATTTTATGCTCCTGTGCCCGTTGGTGGGGTTCAACAACCGTCTACTTGAATTGCCTCTTCGCCATAGTCTAGCTGGGCTTTGAAGTAATTCTTGAACAACGATTTCTCCTCGAGAAGAGCTCTGATGACGTAGTAAAAACCAATGATCCAACTGCTAAATGTGAACTCAACAGTTCATCTTTGCACTCGTTTAGAGTGGAAAATATGCTTCAGATGTATAGAGATGATCTGTTTCAAGTAGAGCTAGTAGAAGCTTTCCGTTTGATCCATACCGAAGAACGAGACCATTCTATTTTCCCTGGATGCTACAACACAATTCCACATGTTCCAACATTTGTAATAACAACATCATCCAAAGTCACACCTAAGGACAAGTTTTAAATCTCAAGAATGCAGGAAGATGCATTTGGTAATTGTTTATCTTTTTTTGTATATGAAAATGACAGTTATAAAAGGTTTTGTTAGTTGAAATCTTTTGGGATTAATTGGCTCAATAACTATAAAAAAAAAATTAAAAGTCACAAACTAACCAAAATGGACTATTTTGGCAAAATCTCAACTCTCAAATTTAGGGCTTTCGGTTAGTTCGTGAGTTTTAATTTTTTTTTTTGTGGTAATTAAGCCAAACCCAATCTTTTGGGAGTAAGACATTTGTAGCTGTTATTGCCTTACTTGGTCAAGTGATTCAATAATACGCTTTTGGGTTCATTTTATGGGCTTTTTAACGGGCCATATTTTATAGGGTCCATTTACGATAGGGCTCTTAGTAATTCTATTCTGACTATATATATACAACCACGAATTAGGGTTTTGTTGCAGAGGCCGTATTTGTATCGACGAAAGCAAACCTAGCCGAGAGCAGATCTCCTTTACCTTCCTGACTCAGGTTAGCTTCTTCTATCCGGCGAATGTCGTCTTCTTTCTCTCGTTTGGGATTGAATATTGAATAGTGCGTATTGTTGCGTTGTTTTCACAGAAATGGCCAAGTCGAAGAATCACACGGCGCATAACCAGTCGGCTAAGGCCCACAAGAACGGAATCAAAAAGCCAAGGAGGCACCGTCACACCTCCACCAAAGGAGTAAGCAATCTCTGTTTCATTTAAAGCCTAACGATCCAGTTGTCGATTGTAGTTTGATTTTGATTTTTTTGTTTGTGAAATGTTTAGATGGATCCTAAGTTCTTGAGGAACCAGAGGTACGCAAGGAAGCACAACGTCAAGAGCGGCGAGAATGCTACCGAAGAGTAATAAGCTTTTCGATTCTGTGAGAGATATTTTGAATGTTTTTATGAATTCAGACTTTTTTTTGTTAGACAAAAGGAACCAATTTAATGTCTTCTCCCTTGCTTTTCGTTTGATTATGGTTTATGCAAATGGTTTGTGTACTCTTCTTATCCAGGCCTTAATTTCTACTTATCCAGGCCTTAATTTGATATCAGGGATTTTCTTTTCATGTTTACTTGATTTGTTGCTAATCTTGCTCTATTTAGATTGTGCATATATGTTTGTGTAGACCTGAAATCTGAATGGTTAATTCGTCTGTCTTATATCCACATAAGTAGGATTGTCTTGGATACTTGAACCAATCTGATTCTTATTCAACGAAACCTGTTCTGTTTTCATGAAAGTACGTGGTTTTAAGCTTTAAACTCCATACAGCATTGCTAATTGCATCGTCTTGTAGTTGTTCATTTATCACTTGGGGTTTCATGAAGTTGTAAAAGTCTATTTTGGTTCTCTCTCTACATCTCTTATCTTGTCAAGTTGGTGACTGAGCGACTATTTTCTGTGTTCTTTAAAGTGTTAACAACTCTCTATTGTCCGTAATGTGAATGGATCGGTTAATATCGAATACATCAAGACCAAATTGTTGTAGAGGTTAGCTTTGGCCACAGAGCGCCAAATTGGTGAATAACTCAGAAAATAATTATAGAGAAATTTGTAAATGATACTGAAAATTTCTAAAATGTGGTGATAAATAAGATTAATTAATATTAGTGTTGATGACGAAAGTACCCCTTCTAAGTGCACGAAGAATACAAAGCTCAAGTCGTGGTTTCGATTCCCTGTCTCGCCTTTTCGTTGTGGATTTTGTATAGATCCTCCAACAACCGAAAGCCACGTGGATGTTTCTTTGACCACATAGCTCATAACACTCCGAGTATCTCACTAATCTCACAGACAGAACTATCAAAGTCCCACCTGGCGTCTTTCGATTGGATTTCACATGCTACACCACAGAACGAAACGTTTTCGCTTGTCATTTATTCTACGTCACAGGCTGTCATTTCTAAAAAGAGCGAGCACAATCGCGGGAAGAAAGCGCGTGGGGATGTAATACCTTACGCTTGATGGCTTTTTAGTGGATATATATGGTAACTAAGGGTATTACTGGAATTTGGTTCATAACGTATGAAAGAATTATATTATTATTTTCCGCTCCTTTAA